TGACAAACGTCTGCAATAGCGCATAGAACAATCGGCAATGTTATCTCGCGTAAGATCTTGCTTGATCGAAATACCTAGCGGAAATGGCCGGTCCAACTGTTAACTTCTTCCCGTGCGCCTCGACGAAATAGTCTCGCCCGATTCGCCTCTGCCGTCCTTCGCCGCAGTTCGCTGCAAAATGCAGATACAGCTGGCAGCCGAAAAGCGAGTCGCAGTTTGGAAATGAAATTTCACGGGAATTTATGATAGTTTGCACAATAAAAGTTACCGTAGCTATCCGCGCAATCGTATCCCATGATAGAACCGCGGTATAACATATATATAGTATAACGGAATATTCGTTTTACTTTACACATCGGATACGATATGCTGTGGAATAAAAGTATACAATGGAATAACAAACGCAAATCAGGATTCGGCATTATGTAATGTAAACGGTGAAACTGTGTTTAATTCTGAGTCCACCGCAGATACCATTCCCAATTTATTAAATTAAACCAATACGTGTTTTTGAGAATTTGTTTCTACAGTAGAAGCAGTATTTTTGTTAACGTTTTAAGGATCGGTTTCTGAAATTATTTTACTTAAAATTTAATAATGTTATATAATTTTTTGTATAATTTATATATTACTTATATTAATTCATTATAATATACAGATTTAAAGTTCTACTCTGAACTCAGCTATTTAATATTACGATACAAGCACGATATGTATATATTTATTAACAATGCAGTAACTATATTTTACATTCTAATTATACTAAAGAAGTTATATTCAGTACAATGCAAATTGAAAAGAAAAATCTGTTTAATATTATATTTATAATTTATTTTGGGCATAATGTAGGTAATATGAGAGAATTTTGCAATCCGTGGTTTCTAATCATCGAAGAGTTGTATCATTATTGTATAAGCGGCGACAATATGGCAACAAAAAGCAAAGAGGTAGACAAAGTGAAGCGGGAACTTAATGAGAAACCATTGAATCACCTTTGGCACCGCCAAACGCTATTGCGGTTTCCGGCACGGTTGCAGAAGGTGATGAAGTGTGCTAAGAAAACACCGAAGTGCGGCTGTGGAAACGTGGATAGACAGACGCAGGGGCGGTTGCCTCCAAGGCAAGAAGCGTGACCCTTAATTTCGTTTCTCGTTAAATCGTTCTTTAACGAGAAAATAAGGCCGTCTCTGAGTCAGAACTCTTGAGATACAAAAATGCGATTTCTCCTTGGCGGTATGTACGATAATGTCAAACGAGATGAGACATAAATGTCGCAAATAAAAAGTGATGTTCTCTTTGTCGCAGTTGTCACATGATAAGATTTCGAATTCCATATAATTTGCCAGTAGTCTAGCATTTCTCTATTCTTCAAAAACACACGCGCTTAAGATATTCAAATTTAATCTTCTATGTATTTCTTAGCAAGATAAATTAACAATTCATCTCACTAAACGTTTTCGTACTTTACATGGCGATTAAACTGACAAGTTATTTTAAGATCAGACAATATATAGCAAATAGCTCTCGCACATTTCACGGTTATTGTCATCTCCGTTTAGATAATACGCGAGCTACGGGGGAGCTCACGTTGAATACCTATTCCAAAACTGTTCGCAGGTACGTGTGACGGCAGAAATTCATATTCATTAACTGCGGACTGTTATGCACGAAATTCACGGTATATCTAGTATGTAATGTATTGTGTCTTTCGAGCGGAGTCGAGTCATATTATTAAGCACTCCGTGCTATACCGACACATGGGCTTACCTTAATCAAAGCTTGTTAATCAGTTTGATAACGACTTTCCGAGGACGTGCTTGCGAATTCCAGCAGTTTCACTCGATTCTCACTCCCATTATCATTAACACGTTGAATACTCTGACGGCCATTATGACAGTGGCATGTCTCGTTGATGCGCGGATAAAATTTAACGTACTATACACTGTATCACCAATCAAGTTGAGACAACGAGCGTATTTACCCAGACTGAAACTTCAAATAGCCGTAAAGAAATTTAAAACGAAATCCGAGAGCTTAAATATTTATTGAATCAACATGAAATGGCGCATTTTTCAATAATGATTGTACAAGACGTAAGAATTTTAGGTCACATAAAAAGTTTCCAGTCTCATCTTCTTGATGTGCACAATATAAAAACTCTCATCGCAACACTTTGAGAAAGTTGGACCTACAAAACCATTTACTCTGACATTTTACCATCGCAATGAATTTCAAGTTGCTTCAAGCGCGTTATTCGTTTTTTCCCTCATTCCCCGTCGCCGTCGTAGGCGCGACAATTAACACTGCGAAGTGTTTTATAATAAAGCACTTGGGGGCATAATTAACACTGTCCTGTATCCGAGCTGTCGCGCTTAAAAGACCTAAAAGTAACTCAAACTTATCTCGAAGCTTGTCGCACCGTTCTGTCTTTCGCTCTCTTCCCTCAACGATATTTTCCACTCCATCCCGCTTCCTTTCTTCTATCTTTCTGTTTCCCGTTCTCTGCGAGTTCTTTGTGCCCATAAATAATTCAGATGCTCGGAACGTAAAGACATTAACGAAGGTAAAAGCTTTTAAGGAAGACCCGGTTTGAATCTTGAACTCGTTACACTGCTTTAACGATAATAACTCTGCAATCAGGTCGGACGATGCATTGTCTAGACATGCGTGCAGGCGTGCCAGCATCAAACGTTTGTAAGTGAATAATAGTCGAAGTGATTAATCAAGTACTTAGTTCGTGACAGGTTTATCTTGATCAGATACATAGTGCGCGGCAGAAAGGAACATTTATTAACATGAGTGATGCCAAAGCGAATAATCGTTCATGTTATTTCATCCCTTACATTTGAGAACTTAAACATTTTTTTATATCTCTTATTTTTCTCAATTAAATTACACCATAACACGAGTAAAATAATACGTCAGGATTAATATGAAATCATTTATATGAATATTTTTTAGCAGAGTTTCGGATTTCACGTGATTTAGGAAATTATTAATGACTGACTCATAATAATAATTCTACTATTAATATAATTTCAATTTTATGAAAAATAATTTACTCTGAGGAGAAAAATGATTATTTATTATAATAATATCATATATTGTATCTTTTATAACTACTTTATCTCACAATTACGCATTACTCAGCAATGAGTATTAACTGTTTCCGCGCGATGTAAGATATAAATAAAAAATGCGAATGAATAGTAGAAGCTTATTTTTTAATTAATTTACGCTATAGTCTGTTTTAGAGAAAAATTTCTGCTCGTAATGGCCGAGACAACAGTAATTTAACAGATTATGATAAATAGGTGCCGGTTATATTAATGTAACCAGAGCTACACTGAGAAACCCATTTAGTTGACTGAATTAAAATTTGGTTGAATCAACTAAATCTCTTGTTTGTATATGGGCAAACAAGAATTGTGGTTGGTGCAACACAAAAATGTAGTTGGAAAATTTAGTAATACCAATACATAAATATAGTTCACTGAACAAAAATATGGTTTGTATGGAACAAAATTAGTGATTGACTTATTACTCAAATTTTGTCCTCTGAACCAAAAGTATGTGTTGATATTACTAAAATTTTCAACCGAATTTTTTTGTTGCGTCAATCGGAAAAAACGATTTTGCTGAAGCATTTAAAAATTTTGACTAGCTAGATACAGATTTGAAAATAATTTTGTTGCACCATTAAAATAATTATAGTAGGTCACTGAAGTATGATAATAATGCTGTAAAAAATTTTGACATTTTAGCAATCAGTTCTACATATAATTATTTTAAATCACATTGCGTGAATCTATAATTATTTTAATTATGTAGAACTGATTGCTAAAATGTCAAAATTTTTTACAGCATTATTATCATACTTTAGCGACCTATTATAATTATTTTGATGGTGCAACAAAATTATTTTCAAATCTGTATCTAGCTAAATTTTTAAATACTTCAACAAAACCGTTCTTTCCGTGTGTAGCCATCAATGTATAGCACATAAAAAATGCATAAACAGTTAAAGTCGTTTAAGTATTTTTATTTATCACATTAACAAAAACATACAAAATTATCGTTAGTATTGCCGTAGCGCAAAATACCTGAAGTAGGAAAAATGTTTATCAAAGAACTAAAATCAATCTCAAAACTGTTGTGTCGCATTTTGTATGACTTGATAAGCATCAATATGTGAGTTTAGAGCTAATGTGAAATATATTTTGTATCTTTTATTATTGGATACTATTTCAATACCGTTTGTTTCCAAAAGTTTTAATTCTTTAATTAAAATATTAAATGTAGCACGATTCCCATGAATCATTCTATCAGACGCATGACACAAAAGAGCCAAAAATATATTATCTAATGTAGAATAATACTTTATCGGTGTACCAGCAAGTAATATATAAACAGCACCTAATTTATGAATACCGGCATGAGATCATAATGGATTATTGATTTCAAAATCGTCATAGAAAAGAAAAATTGGTATCACAATGCTGTTGCCATAATTTTTCGAAATATCACGCCATAAGAGTGATCCAAGAAAATCAAAATAATCTTTCAAACAACATTCATTTATTTCTCTAATAAAGTAGGACAACTCTTTAATATTATAATTTTATAATATTGATATTCTCTTTCAACTACTTTCTTTAAAAACAAAAAGGAAAAATTACTAAAGAAGCAGCTCCATATCTATATTGATCTAGATCTATATTGATAGATCGTAATAAAACGATAAGTGCGAAGAACCAGTATGACGACGCCGATATTTTTAAAAAATAACGCATATCACAAAATTATAATCATAAATTGTTTTATAAATTTTACACGCAAACTTATAATAAAACTAAAAAATATTTTATGAATATGTAACTGAAGGTAACTGTAAGTACCATCAATAAAATCAACGTATTACGCAAAAAATAAATAAAAATTTTAATCAGGAACAATCTTCATAATATCAATCTTTTTCTATTGAAATTGAATACAAAATAAAATATTTTATAAAAAATGTCAGTCAGAAAACTATTTATGTAATAACTTAATCAGAGATTTAAATCTCAATTTTAATTAAGAAAAAAACATAATGATGTTAGTCTTTGTTGTGTGTGATGGTCTTTATAGAATTTAAAATAGTCAAAACTGATGGATTTTTACAATCAAACTCAGTTTCAAATCTATATACGGCGCATTGTAAGAAATACCATATTTTTTCGCATTCTACTGGATACTTTGCATTAAAAACCTGAAAACTCTTGAAGCATATATCCACTTCGTTACGCACGGTTGCAATTTCGTACTTTAAATCATCCATAATGACATATGAAGTAATGTCATTCTCATCAGAAACCAGAAGTACAAATGGCTGAAGTTTAATTCCTTTATGTGTACAAAAATTTCTCCGTTCTTCAATAAGATTCTCAATTTCTCCGGGAATCTACAGAAAGATAAAGATAACGCTGTAAGTTGTAGAAATATCTCTCTAGTAAGATACATTAGAAATGCTTACCTTCAAAGAGCGGAATTAAGCTCTCGCACCGCAATGCAACTAATGCGTCTCGTACAACATGATCCGCCATAGCATATTTTACAATAACCGTAAGAGTACACTATTGAAAACAGAGGTCCTGTGTGTTAAAAAAAGTCCTTGTTAAAATTTTTGTGTAATATACAGACTTATACGAGGAATATCGAATGGGCAGTATCGAGCCCGTTAAGTAATAATGCGTGGTACACGCTTATCCGCTCGTTACGGAAAGAGAGAATCTCCGGGTACTTATCGTGGCTGACCTTGTCTCCGCTGTCGGAAATGGCTGGCGGACGAGTCTCGATGCTTCGCTGAGATCAGAAGAGATCCGTCTTTTGCCCAACGTGCGCAGACGCCGATGTATCCTGAGGGATTTCCGGATGTCGAGTCGATTTCCTTTTCTTCGCTTGCTAATTGCCAGCACGCACCTCTCGCACGTTATCACGAGCACGCGCATTTGCGGCCACAAGAAAAGCCTTGAGAAAATCTTTCTCTACAACTATAAAGTATCTCGTTCGTTTTTCTTGCAATGAATCGCCTAGCAACCGGGTCCACTAAACTGCGCAACGAATTCCGAATTGACTTTCCGAAACTGTGGTATCAGCACCGCGAACCGTGATCGAATAACGAATGACGCTGTGATGGTGTAGCGCTCTCTCTCTCTTTCGCATTGTCGCGACTCTAGCGCGGACTGGCAAACGGAAGACGATCGGCAGAGCGCCCTTTGCTTTCGTCGCCGCGGTCGCCGCGTCATTGTCGATATTGCGCGCTTATTTTCAACCTATGATTTTCAAGTGAACGATTTTGTTCACGCAACAAACACAATTATTTAAGATACGATGAGATGGGCAAGTTTGTTACCGTAACAATCAAATTTTATTGTAACTAATAAATCGATTCAAACATAAAATTTGGTTCGTGTAACATTTCACTTGCTTCCCGTAATATGGTTTTTTAAGTGCATATACAAAAATTACATATACAGTCAACAAAATGGTTTAACCAAGGAATTTTGTTTTATTCAACCAAATGGGTTTCTCAGTGTACGCTGACTCTCCAGTTTACAATATTTTCTATCTCTATGTATACCACGGGGTGTAATTTCGAAAAGGACAACAAATTACTAATCAGACTTAGTTAGCTCAGACGGCCGTTGCAACTTAGGGATCTTAAATTGAATTTCCTCTATGGGGAAATCTCCATATTTCCTTCAAGAACACTTGAGCATTTGGATTTATAACTGTTTACGTTTTGTTAAATGTAATAACGTTAAATATTAGGAAAGAAACTGATGCAATAAAAAATAAGTGTCATGCTCTAATTCCTATAGTATTTTAATGATTTATTTTATTTTGTTGTTCTAAAACATTTACATTATTGTTGCAGACTCCGAATTGCCCCGATTCGCCGAGGAAATCCAAAACGTGACAGTAAGCGTGGGACGTGATGCTCTGTTGGCTTGCGTGGTGGATAACCTACGACATTATAAGGTACTTTAAATTAAACTATCTTTATTACTACTGTATGTATGTCAAATGTCATGCAGAACATGGCTAGCTACTCGAATCATTTTTGCGTTAAATCCATCAATTATAACTGTTTGGGAACATTAATGGGACAACCTTTGATATTACAAGATAACATGCTTGAAATAAAATTTCTTTTCCGTTTCTGTTCCACGTGTCAGATTTTATGTCGAATACTGTTATCGTATAACTATTCGCGATCTCCCCGAGCCAAATTTGTGCCATCGATTGAAACATTTAGAAAAATTGAGGTCGCGTACCTATATTTATTATGATCGAAAATGTCAGACACCTTCTCTCTCTCTCTCTCTCTCTCTCTCTCTCTTTCTCTCTTTCTCTCTCTCTCCCCCTCCCTCCCCCCTGTTTTTTCTCTCTTCTCTGTCTCTTCTCTCTTTTTTGTAAGCATTTTTCTCTGCAATGCATTTCTATTTTCTGCTCAATTCACGTCGTGCGAAATGAACGCAGATAAGAGTGGATATAGAACAGAAATAATAACTGCTAATACAATGAGACATATTATAAGAGGATGTAATATTCTTGTTGTGAAAAGCACATTAGCATTTGTATAATTAATATATTATAATATAATAAGTGAGAATCCTGCAATATACTTGGCTAAAGTTTTCTTTAGATTTTAGTACATATTTTATACATGTATTCTGATCCTTCAATGGTTCCTTGTATTACACGGCGCATAAATGGAATACTATTCTGAATTCTGACACGAATTATAAATAGTCTAAAGTGAGCTGAAACGTTTTCAACATGGCAAATTGCTATTAAGCAAGATTCGAACTTTTCTTGCTTCTCCGTGCAAGAAGCGCTTGCACAAATTAAATGAAGATAGTATCTACTGAAATCCCTACGGCGTTTATGGTCCGTAGACTGCGAATTGGACGGTCCTAGTTTACGTACCGTTATCAAAGACTTCGCATAATTGCTTCATTTTCCTTCAGTTAATTGAGATGACGTAACAATAGGATACAATTTATTTTGCCGGGTAGCGACAACACTTACCAGAAATAATGCAGCTCGGCATAAGCTAATAATACGTTCCTTCTTCCCTGGGATAATGATCAGAATCAAGTAAAACTACTAAAACTTTACAAATTATTGTATATTTTGTATCGCGAACTAACTCTACTCGTCACGGATTTTGGTACATCTTATTAAACGAGTGAATTAAATTCATACGTTTCCTTTAAGCGCATTTCAGGAATGTGCCTCGGTACATGTAATATAATCTGCAAGGTATCCGCCACCCATCTTTTGAAAATTTAATGAGAGATGAAAGATTTATGTTCTCGTCGTTCGACGAGCTTTCGTACACTTTCGTACACTCGGTATTCGCTGCGCATTCCGAGGAGAAAGCATATTTCGCATTCAAAAATTTTCTTCCAGCGGCATTTCGATTCAGCTATCTATTCATCTTTTTAACCGAAAAGGCTTTTATATGAAAATGCGTTAAATGCTTTTCTATGTTAAAGCTGAGAAATTTTGAGTTTGTTAGTTTTTACATCGAAAATATATATTGATTATAATATATATTTTTTCTCATAAAAATAATTTAAAATTTGTTTAAGTTTAAGTTAATATGTTTTAATTTACGTAATAAAACGAGTGCTTGTTTTATAATTATTAATGTGCTAATATAATATAAACTTTTTATAAAATATATAGATACTCTTATCAAATTTTTATATAAAATCTTATGTGCTAGCTCTTCGTTTATATTGCTTTAATAAGATAGAAGTCGCATTTAGTTTTGTTTTTACTTTATAATTATTATATATTTTGAATTCAAATTAGATTTGTTTTAATCTTAGGATGATTACTTTTTCTATATAAGTGCAGTTCAATTTTCCGTTTTTCCACTGTTAACGATCGTATAACTATATCAAGTTTGGGGTGAACCTTCATCCGTTACGTCGATGAAAGCATGTCAGAAGTTGTGTCAAGATGAGTTATTAAAGCAATATTGTAACGAATACCATGAAACATCGCTCGGTACGAGCGTATAAGTGTGCGTTCACGTGTCTACGCATACAACATGTAACATAGTCACGCCTACATGTATAAATACATATGAGTCGAGTACATATACGGGTAGAAAGCTAAAATATTCGCGAGTGAGCTGATCTTTTCTACGAGCGATACTCTCCAGACGTACTACTGGAAACACGAAACATACTTGAGTTGCGCTTGCGGTGGAAATTATACTGCTGTAGAATTTGCGAGACTTCGGGCATGTTTTGCATGCTCAAGAAACCTCTTGCCCGTATCGAAAATTCAACGACGAAAGTGTGTGAGAGACAGGCGGTAGTAGGAAGAAGAGTGAGTAGTTCTAAGCCTCCGTCAGTTTCTCGAGATCTATGTAAAGGATGGAGAGTACAACTTTATTCGATTATTAGGTTAAGAGAACGAAGCGAATACGATATTTTTTAGTAAAATATATAAACTCGTTGGAATATATATTCAAAATTATTAGTAAATAAGAAAGGTATCTCGTATGTTATGTGCGCCTCGAGATCCTATAAAAAAGACATTTTATAGATGAATCTAACATTAAATAACGTATAATCTATATAAAGTACATTGTCTTTTTTAAAAGAGAGAAATTAAAAATAAATATACTTTCTAATTTTAAATATAGTCAGTTTAGTTTAATTTGCAAATAAGTAAATTTGTTTAATAAAATTGATCTGACTACTTAGTATTCAATATTATGTACCACAATTAATCTTACTTTTTATTGCTACAATTAAGTAAAATAAGGATAGAAAAAATTGAATCGCTATACGTATGTATATCGAGCGATGTTTTGATAATTAAGCAGGCAAGGCGGGAGTATAAAGTTAAGGAGTTTAAGAGAAATGTGTTTTATCGTATGTTTTAGGTGGCATGGGTGCGCGTCGACACGCAAACTATATTGTCGATTCATCAGAACGTAATTACTCAGAATCCCCGAATTACATTATCGTACAATGATCACCGGTCGTGGTATCTTCATATAAAGGAAGTTCAAGAAGTCGATCGCGGATGGTACATGTGCCAGGTGAATACGGATCCAATGAAAAGTCGTCAGGGTTATGTACAAGTTGTAGGTAAGCAAAATGTTTGATATCAAATCTTTTTAAAACACACATATTTCTTACTTAAACTTAGACTTATTTGTACATTACAGTCTTCCAGAAAATTATGTTTCTATCAATATATTATTCAATAACGTGAACAAATGTACGTGTACATGTCTGCAAACAAGCATATAAAGAATTCAAATTTTCGTAAATACAACGATCATGAAAGTAAAATTTATGAAAGTAAAAATTTTCTAATGTTCGTGTTACAGTACCACCGTCGATTATTACCAAAGAGACCAGCACCGACATGGTGGTCCGCGAAGCTTCCAATGTGACTTTGACGTGTAAAGCGACCGGATATCCGGAGCCTTACGTCATGTGGCGACGGGAGGATGGCAAGAACATAAATTATAATGGCGAGAGTGGTGAGTCATAATTAATTTACCATAATTTTCGCGAATAGACAAGCGAATAGGGCGATGATATTCGGAGCTCTACACCGGATAGGATAGTTATAACTTTCATAATGCCGTCGAGAGACGTACCGCTCAATAACACATATCGCATGCAGATGATAAATGATCCTTGCCCCTAAATTGGCCACTCCTAGATTGGTATTGCCGCTTAAATATGCGTTATATTTGTGGATTAGTTACAAAGTTGCGACCAACGACGATTATTTAGTTGAAGTATTATTTTACCAAGTGCTAAACTAAAAATATTTTTAAGGATGTATTTTTAATTTCATGCAACTTATAAATAATATAATATCCCAATATCTTGATATCTAATCGAGACATTTTAAAAATGACGAAATTTTAGTCTTTGCTAAGTATATTATTTATTTAAAATCTAGAAATTTAATTATTCTAGTAATAAATAGACAAATACACACACACACATTTATATAATAGACATAATATGAAGCTCTCTAAAGCAAAACAATACGTTGACCATTAGCTTACATGGTAATTAAATGTATTGCCTACGTATTGTGGAATATTTTATAAATTTTCCGATATTGAACGCAACTCTCTTTCCTCTCTCCTCTCTTGTATTATATGTTTACATCAATGATTATCACTAATTAAGTCCGTTTTTAGGCATAATCACTCTTTATGCTTTGTATTTACGGAAAGAAAATTGTCATATTATTAGCGGTTTTATAAAAGATAATACGTTTCTTTTTCATTCTATAAATAATACGATTTACGTGAGGAAATACAATGATACGGACAGTTACATCTCCAAACCGGTATCATCCACCCCACTAACGGATGCTGTGCTTTAACGATTAATTATTCCTCGCCTAATCCAACATCAAAATTCGGTCGAGTAAGCCGTGGCCAGCACGCAATTATTCAGATGCGCGGTATAACCA